AGAGCAGTATGGGAAATATAGAATCTAAAGAACTTATGACACATGGACATAAATGAAAGGGGGGAAGGTGGGGGAGGGGTGTATAGGGTGGAGGGAAATGAAGGGGGGACTAGGACAACTGTAGTGGCATAATCAAAAAAAAATATATATATATATATATATATATATATATATATATATATATATATATAGTGAAAATGAAGTTAACAAGGACTTTTTTTTTACTTAAAGGATTTTAAACAGGCCAGTAAGAATTACTATTGATGTGTGAATAGGCCTTTCAATAAATAAAGGAAAAATACTCACATTACCATAAATAACCAGAAATAATATGAAGGGAAAAAATATGTTCATTTTGACCTCTAGAACACACTGAAGACTCGGAAACTGTAACTTTAGGCTGCCATTAGAAGAAGGTGGCATGAGAGGTTCCCTGGTCTCTCCCCTTTGAGTTGCAACAAGTGGAACAGCTATAATTCGACAAAGGACTTCCTGCTCAACACAAAAACCTGGCAGAAATGTCTGTGCACTGCAACAGTTGAATGTGGGTGAGTCGGAGTGAACAGGGGGAGAGGGACAGGAGTGGAGATGGGTGCATGGGCACTAAACTTATGAACCTTGAAAGTATTTTACGAATTTGACCTCAAAAGCAAGGAAAGTAAAAACAAAATAAATGAATGGGACTATATGGAACTAAAAATCTTCTGCATAGCAGAAGAAACTTCAAACAAAACAAAAAGCCAACCAACTGAATGGGAGACGACATTTTGCAAACAATACCTTGGGTAAAGGTTCATATTCAAACTATATAAAACGCATACAACCTAAGAACAACAAAAAACAAACAACCTAGGTTAAAAATGGGCAGAGGACCTGAACAGACACTTCTCCCAAGAAGACAAATGAGCAACAGACATATGAAAAGATGCTCAACTTCACTAGCCATTAGGGAAATGCAAATCCAAACCATAATGAGATACCACCTCACACCTGTTAGAGTAACTATTCTCAACAAGTCAAGTAATAATAACAAGTGCAGGGAAGATTGTGGAGAAGAAAGAATTGTCATTCAGTGGTGGTGGGAACGTACACCGGCACAGCCCCTGTGGAAAACAGCATAGAGGTCCCTGAAAAAATTAAGAACAGAGTTACCACATGATCAAGTAACCCCTCTCCTGGGTTTCTACCCAGATAATTTGAAAACATTTAGTCATAAAAATATATGTACCCTCCTTAGGTTCTGAACACAGCAGGGGCCAGAGACTAGGGACATGCAGACCCCTGAGGGGTCTTCTGGCCAGTTTTCAGTGAATAAAGTTCTGTTGACAACTCAAATCCCTATGTTCATTGCAGCATTATTCATGGGGGCCAAGACACGGAAACAACCAAAGTGTCTTTCAATAGATGATTGGATAAAGAAGATGGGGTCCACATATGGAGTACTGCACAGCCATAAAAAAGATGAAATACTGTAATTTGTAAAAACATGGAGAGATCTTGAGAATCTCCATGTGCTAAGCAACATAAGTCAGACAGAAAAAAATCAAGAACCAGATGACTTCACTTATATGTAAAATACAAAGCTGAAAGCAACACATGAACAAACAAACAAACACAAACTCATAGGCACAGACAACAGTAAGGTGATGACCAGAGGGAAATGGGTAGGAGGGAAGTTAGTCAAAGGTAAAGGAGGGAAGTTAGTCAAAGGTAAAGGGGGTCAAATATATGGTGATGAAGGAGATTTGATTTGGGGGGGGTGAACATACAATGCAATATACTGATGATAATTATAGAATTGACTTTCAACTGATCTTTTTATTAACCAATGTCACCTCAACAAATTTAAAACTATGGCCTTATGTATGTGTGTATGTGTTGGGTACATTGTTGTGCCAATAAAGATATTTTAGTCTTATTGAATTAATAATGTTTATAACAGTTGGCAAAATTTTTCAGACCTTTTTTTATATATAAAATCTGAAAGTGAGTGAAGAATAGAACATATGCAACAGCATGGATGGACCTGGAGAACATTATGCTAAGTGAAATAAGCCAGTACCATAGAAAGACAAGTACCATATGATCTCACTCATATGTGGAATCTAATGAACACACTGAACTAACAAGCAAAACAGAGACAGACCCATAGATGAAGAGCAGGATGACAGCTATCAGGGAGCAGGTGTTGGGGGGGAAGGGACTGAGCAAAAAGGAAAAGGGACTCATGGACAACAGTGTGTTGGTTGCAGGGGGAAGAGGGATATAAGGGGCTAAATAATAATGAAAAAATACAATAAATTTTTTTTAAAAAAGAATAGAGCATAGCACTGATGTTTGAGGTTTCTTCCTCTGCATACAGTACAGGTTAAAGGTTAAAAGGTTAGGAAAAAGGTTAAAAATTTCATCAGCAATTCAAGATGTGTCAAAGTATCAAAATTATCATGGCTATAAAAATAGACATTGCTAATAAAAACAGTTTTATTCTTTGTATTAACAGAAATAATAATTCCAATAAAAATAGTATAGAAGACCACCACTAGCCCACCTGCTACAGAGCTGTGGGGAACAGGATGCTCTGTGACGCATGGTAAGGAAGGTATGGAGGGGCCCCTGGGAGCTGTCCTGATAAAAGAGAGCCATGGACAGCCCACCCCTGCTACTGTATCACACAGCCAAAAGCAGCCCGGCACAGGGCATGTCTAATGCCCCCACGGGGGAACTGCAGCGACACTGTACAAGGGGGAGTACATGCTATGCTCAAGTATGCACCGATATCTGGGAGCAACTCCATGCAGGTGAGCAAAAGAGAAGTGACTGATGTGCACAATGGTGTCCAAATGGTGACAGTGGGCACCATTTGCACCAGCCCCTACCTCGTACTACTTGAAATCATGCCTCTGGCCACCCAGAAGAGAAGTAACAAGCCTACACAGATCTGAGAGCTAATGAGGCTGCTTCCCTTGACATTTGTAAAGGTATCCATTCATAACAACAAAAACAACAGCTCCACCTGAAGCTCACCACTGGCAACTCTTTTTACTTTCAACTGTGTCCCTGTTCACATATGAGATCTTCTTGCTCAGTGGGAAGACCTCGTTTACACATTAAAACCACCAGTGGAGGTTTATAGCAGTACCCACACCATTCTGGCCGATGGTACACGGACATACTTTGAAGAAGAAAACAGCCCAGAGGTAAGCCTTTGCAGAATCTCTGAAGGGCCAGGGTGCTTTGCGAGACCAGCTGAAGTTCCCACAGAGTTTTCAGTACTGAGGCTCATTTGAAAATGCATTCTGTTTGGAAATGTTCAAGGCCAAATGAGCCTCAGTCTGGAGGCCAGGCTGCATTGGAGAGGTTCCTAATGCTTTTCCAAAGTGTTCCCCAAGGCCATATTTCAGAGATTTCTTAGCTCTTGGCAACTCTTAATTTCATAGTCAACATTGTATCGCCACTGCCGCATCCTCACCATCCAATCTCTTCTTGAACATGCACAACTCCAAGCTGACAGGCTGGCTGACATGCTGGGGGATGTCACGTCCCTCCAGGACTGCCGTGTACCAGCAGAAATAGTAACACAAGTGTATTTTTAAAGTGTGTGAGGATATTCCCTGGTGGATTATAATAGTGCTCTCTCTGGTACTAGCAGGGTTCGAGCAAAGCTGGAGAAGGGATTCCTGCATCAAATGGCTTCAAAACTCTTATTATAAGCCCTTGTTTAGCTGTAGGAATTGAAGGGAGCAGACCTTCCTGGTCTCACTGTATCTCACATCTTTGTCTTCTTCCTAGGCAAACGCCTTTCATTTCTATGGAAAAGATCAAGATCAAGTCAGCACCAGGAACCTTCACATGAACCGTTAAGTGTTTGGGACCACCTAGTGTGGTTATGCTGGGGAGGAAGGAATTCAACGTCTGCCTCCCACATAATATGGCATTCAAGACTTCCCATTCTTTAGTCCCAAAGCCTGTAGTGCCTGGGGAGAGGGCAGGACTGGCAGCAGGAGCAGGGGTTACAAGAGGCAGTTGGCAGACTCAGAAGAGAACCACAGCACTAACAGGAGCAGCCTTCCGGGATCTGGAAGAAGTGCAGCCAGCACGGCCAACCTGGGTGCTTTCAACTCTTCTTGTCCTCAGAGGGTGCTCCCAGCACATCCTTAAGAGCTGCCGGCCTCTCCCCTTGGGGCAGCGGGAGCATGGTGGCTGCAGGGGCAGAGACGACTGGCAAGAACTTCAGGCTCTGAAGTATCTTAACTTGATATTTGTAATTAAATAGCAGATGATAATAAAATGCTAAAGACTGCTCCCTCTCAAAGGTCCTCATTCATTTATGATCTATATCTATTAGCCAAATAAAACTCTAAAAATCCCAAAATACATCCCCAGGGACAGAAGCAACCAACAGGAAGCAGAATGATGTACATGAAGCCAGGAAAGCAACATGACAAATAGCTTTTTTACTATTTTAACATTATGGCCTCAAACAGATCACCTGTTTCCTTTTTTCAGTGGTTACTTTGAGAATTAGACATGATATGTGTGAAATCTCTGGCACATAATAGGCACTGTGGAAATGTTAGTGATTACCATTGTCAGGGGTGTTGAAAAGCAAATTTGAGTCAAATTATACTTTCTGGAAAAGGCTTCATTCTCCCAGTCTCTTCATTCTTGAATTCTCCTCTAATTCTTTGCCTAACTTAATCTTGCTAAACTGCTTTGAAATTAAACTAAAGTTCTCAACATATTCTATTAATTTTAATCTCTTGATGTTACTTAGAATTCTAAATTTTCATGGATTTAAAAGGAATTGCTTCCTGTAAAAACTTCAATAATCCAGTCACAGTGGAAGCATAAAATGTCATATAAAAACTAGAAAAACATGAAACGTTGGATAAAACCTGAATATGAGATCAATTCAGTATCTAGGCAAAAAAATGGAAATTAAGTCTTAGAAGTATAAGATAATTGCAAGTAAAAAATCTATTTAAGAGTCTAGAGGCGCTATGTCTGGCCACAATGGTGGCAAGGAGAAGCCCTTGAAACAGCCCAAGAAGCAGGCCAAGGAAATGGACAAGAAAGATACGGCATTGAAGCAGAAGCAAAAAGAGAAGCAGAAGAAACTTGAGGAGCTAAAAGTGAAGGCCGTGGGGAAGGGCCCCCTGGCCATGGGTGGAGTTAAGAAATCTGGCAAAAAGTGAGCTGTTCTCGGGACTGGGGCACTGGTGATCCTTCACTCCATTTCCGTTTTAACATCTAGACTCCCTGTCATAACATCTCTTGGCACCTATAGATAGAATGAAGTATTGTCTGGGAGTCTGTTGTACGTTTAAGAACAAACTCTTATAAAAAGTAATCACAACAACAGTCATGCAGTGGCTCATCATCTTAGCTCTTCTCACTCTGCCATCTCAGCCTTGGCTGTGAGGTCAGAGTGCACCCAGCCCAGAATCCTGTCAAAGTGTGTTCTCCAGTCTCTGTTCTACTCAGAATTCTGTACCATCTGGAATTAAACCAGTTCATTTGAAAAAAAATAGAAGAGTCTAGAAGTGATACACCATATAGTTTTCCAAGCCAGAAGCAGAGGGCATGGGTAACTGGGCCCCCATGATGATTGGATTTTCACAACCCTCATGCTTCAGAAGCTCAACACTGGGCTTTGCATACAGAAGACATTTGACACATGTGTGCTGGGTCCAATTCAGTTAAGAGTCATAAATGTGAAATAAATCCAATTTCTTCCAATCCAGCAAACCTGAGCACACAGAAGTCTGCACAGCACTGCACTAACTCCACTCACCCCCAAGTCTCCTGCACACACTGTAAGGCAGTGGCCCACTATGCACAGTGCTTATGGCTTTAGTGATTGTCGGTGGCCTCACAAAATACTTTAGATCTGAAAAAAAATGCCCTTAAGACAAAATTTTTTTTAAATTTCATAAATAACAAAATCAGATGTCTAGAAAATCCTGAGTTCAAAGCTGTTGACAGTTATAGGATAAATCACAGTTGATATCATACCTCCCAGGTCATAACAAATAAAAAAACTATATTAAAGGAATTAGCCATTAATTAATTCTATTGTGAAATGTAAAAGTATTTTTATAATTTAGTTCCATCACACATTGAACAATTTTATTATAACTATATATACATACATATACATATAAACATGTATAAATGTTCAAAGAAAATCCACAAACTGATCATTAGTAAAAGAAGACTAGATGAGAATATCGGTCAAGCATCCGAAACTTGTTTGTTAGATTAAATACAGTAAAAAAAATAAAAAAGGATACTGCACCCCAAGTAAATGTATAGATCTAATGCATTAACAATTAAAATCCCAACAAGAGGTTTTAATTAAAATTTTTTAATTTGACATAGCAATTATAAACAAATTTTTTAAAGCAAACAGTCATGCCAGCTTATAGTTTTAATGTAATAATGATTTCTTCCATCCCACATTATATATAAAAAATATCATAACTGAGTCATGGGGTTTTGAAAGTAGAAAAGTGGAGACAAGAGACTCAGGAAAACACAACCCAAAGTGGATGAAGTGCAATGGGGAATGTGTCCAAAGGAAAGTCACAGAAAAACTAGGCATCAACAAGGAGAACAAATGTAGAGCCAGGTGTGGAATTTGTTAAAAGGACTTCTAGATGAGATGAATTAAACAGAAGACACTGAAAGAGTTTAATGAATTTGCTAGTTTAAAAATGACACAACATACACATACATACATACATACATACATACAAATTAAGAGAAAAACACTGCAGTCTGGGAAGCATTTTGTACCAAATATAACTACTTCAATATGAATATACAGCATTGATTGAAGCAATACCAGTCTTCACAGAAAAATGGCCAAAGATTTTTAAACCAAAACTAGGTTACTACCAATCTTACTACCAAGTCTAAGAAAATAAAATAAATTAAAATTAAAATTAATTGTTAGTAAAGTGGTGAAGAACCAAATATGCTCATATATCATTGATGGGTTACAGCCCTAATACTTTTCAAGAATTCTATTCTTTAATATAAAATATAAACAAGTTAATTTTATGAAACAAAAAATATGTAAGTAAAGGTATTCAATTATCACCAAACGTTTAAGCAGATGAGGGTCTGTTACTAAAATAAAATCTATGTTTCTTAATTTCCTTTCTCCTATATGCTTAAAGATGTGAAGTAAAACCCTGTATGCAAAAACCATAAGTGAAGAAATGAAACCCCAGAATACATACATTTGTACACTGCTTTATCTAACTATTACTCAATTCTGACAACACACCAGGAACTACATTGGCATTATACCAGGGATGGGGAGCAATACAAGGTTTCTACCTTTATGGAACTCAGGGTCAAGTACATATTGATAACAACTATGTAATGGTCATGATAAATTATCCTAAAGTCCTATAAACAGTTCATATTAAGGTGAAGAGATTCTTTAAGTACTACATGCTGATTTGATTATTCTATTTAGCTCTCCACAATAAATTAATATTGGAATTAGAGTAGACATCATCAAATTATCCATGACGTGGGCATAAAAAATATGCTTAGGCATAAAAAATATGCGTGGGCATAAAAAATATGCTTACTTAGACACAATTGCTTCATATTTGTTACAAAACAGAAAATAATATTTTTGAGATATAACACTATTCTTGACAATCACTGTGAATTATTTCCTATCCTGGGCTACTTTTCCACCCATGCTTTATGGAGGTACACATACATACCTTTGCCATTACACTGTATTTTTTAATTATTATTAGGTGCTTTTTCATTTTTGTGTAGAAATATTTCATTGTATTTCTAATATCCTAACTCTGTTTGGCCTATTTTGCTTATTTCTGAAACTCCCCTAAGGGCTTGTGGTCCACAGCATACAACAGGAATTTGAAAGTCAGACAATAGAATTAAAATTGACTTAATAGCAAATTGGTTTCAAAGGTATAGTCAAAGCTTTAGTGTTCACCTCTCATATTGGGGTTGTACTGAATAATACCACACATTATTCTACAATGTTCCATTGTGCCAAGAAAAAAAAATTGGTATGCTTTCAAAGAGTCCTAATATATTTCTCTGTAAATCATTTATTACTATCATTTTCTTTTTTAAAAAGATTTATTTATTTATTTTTAGAGAGAGGGGGCGGGAGGAAGAAAGAGAGAGTTAAACATCAGTGTGTGGTTGCCTCTCACATGGCCCCGACTGGGGACCTGGCCCGCAACCCAGGTATGCGCCCTGACTAGAAATCAAACTGGCGACCCTTTGGTTTGCAGCCCATGTTCAATCCACTGAGCTACACCAGCCAGGGCTATTACTACTATTTTCATAAAAATTGTGATTTGATTTCAAAATAGCATTTTTTAATGAAATATTTGTGAATCATAAAATTAAAATCACATAAGCAACTCAAGTTTTCTGGAACTGGCATTATGACCAAAATAAAACAACCACATAAAATTATGTAAAGTATGTGTTTGCATATGCATATATGGAGAGCAAGTTACATAAATATATTACTGACCTTAACCAAAGGAAAACTACAAAGTGAAGAAGAGAGTAATTGGAATGCCAGAGGGGAAAAAAGGATTTGCTGCAAAATACAGGCAGCCCTCTTCAGGTCACATTATACCTGAAGGGAAGCGAACCGTTACCTGTGCCAGAATGGGGAAGCCGAGGTTCCTGCATCCATTACAGGGGGTCAGCGCTTCCCAGAGTCCGGAGGGCCCGCAGGTGTTCTCATCGTCATCCTCTTCTTCCACTTCTCCTGGTGACAAATTTATTGTAGATGAAGTTCTCTGAAATTAAATTTATATTATACCAATATATTATATCCATGTTATTTAGGTATCTGAACATGAATTAAATTTAAGTTTCTATGGTGTACTTTAGCAAGCAAGTTAGCTTAAGTCTAGCCACAGCCATGGGGCTGTAGCCATGTATACATGCCATTAGCCAGAAAACATGTGTAATTCAATTTTTGAGTTGAAAGTGAAAAAAGTGGGTGAGGAAGATTGATAAGATACAAAATTTGTAACAAGCATTAGGACATGAAAATGACCCAAGAAATAGCTGAACAGCAACAAATGAGGAAAAAATCTTATGATTTCTAAATGTAAACCAGAGGAACAATATGCAAATTCTTTTTTTGAAATTAGTAAAAAACCCATTTTTCACACTATCACCAAAATGTAGCCTTCTTTTTGGAAAAAAATGATTCATAAAATTTTATATTATACACATAAGGAGGGGTGATACTTTTCAAGTTAATCATAGGACTTCCCTTTGAACATGGTTTAACCATCAGAACACGGACAAAAGGAGAGAGATTAAAAGCAGATGAGCAATATCAAGACAAGTATTGGATAATAAAAAACAGATGCGTAGATGTTACCTGATTTAGCAAATTTGAGAAAACGGAAAACAAAGTACCACATGAGGAAAGAATAAGAGGCAGGCCTGTTCATAACTCAGCATCCTCAGAGGGGCTTCTCAGCTGGAGAGACTCACTGCCCCTGAAAGTACAGGTGCAGATGGGGCTAAAACAGGAGGGACCCTGTATTTCAGAGACCGTCAGACCTCCTAGAGCATTGATGGCAAACAAAAAGGCCCGCAGGCCGAATCCGGCCCTCCACCTTGTTTCTAGCCAGCAGCAGTGTGAGCTCTCGCTTAACTGTTACGGAGTAGTTACATTTATGCAGTTCTAAAATTACATTCGGCCCTTTGAACGCAACCATGAGGGTGGCCCCTAGTGAAATGAGTTTGACACCCCATCCTAGACTGTCTCCTCCTCACCCAGTTAAGAGACTAAACCTGATAAGAAACTGGAGGTTTACTTTCTGGTGAGGCTGAAGGAGAGGGATTATGAATTCTAAGAAACCATGCACAGGGAGCAGAGAGGTATCTCTAAAAACAAAGGACCTAAGTGAATATCTGTGTGAGACATGAAGATTTCCACCCCACCCCAGTGCCTACTCATATCTACCTGAGAGAATATGGCAGCTAGGGTTATGTCCCTGCAGATAGGAAAGTAGACTATATTCCTCTCTACAAAACTAACCTGATATGCAAAAAGATTTGTAAGTACCTAGGAAAATTGTGGGGTTCTATACCTTAACACCTACTATGAAGCCCATATCTCAACAAACTCCACCCACATAAACGGTTTCTAATTTTT